ATATGACATATTTCCACATTAATATGATTCAATAATCACCGTTTAGACAATCAAGTAATCCTAATAGTTATACTACAGTTTCTGGCTTTGCATCATCTTTCCCGCTCTAGCTGGGGCGAAAGTTCAACACAGCAGTTCCCGGACCGGGCTCCCCTCATGGGCATAGCCCGGGCGAGGCTCTGCCTCGCGAATCAGGCAAAAAAAAAAAAAAAAAAAAGAAGAAGCAGTTCCCGATAAGTGCTGCTCTAGGCAGGGATTTTCATATCGGTTCCCTTCACAGCTGGGGAAGCATCCCGCTCTGCAAACAGATCCCTGGACAGAAAAGACTAGTGTGACCGCCCCTTAGGTGAACCAGATGGAGATGGACAGAGAAAGCGAGAGGAAGAGGAGGAAACAGAGTGAAAGGCCGGTGAGCAAGTGAATAAAAGGATCGGGGAAAGAAGGAGACAGAAACGGAGGGCGATGCGCGAGAGGAAGTGAATATGTATATATAAACATATATGTGTGTGTACTGTGTATATATATATGTATATGTATGTATGTATATACGTGTGTGTGTAGGTATATATATATACTTATATATACCTGCATACATATGTATAAATATTATGTATATGCATATACATATGTATATATATTTCATATTTGTGTTTGTATATATGTATATAAAATATGCATATACATGTATATGTATGTATATATATGTAAATGTATATATGTATATTTGATATTTATTGTATATATATATATGTATGTATATATGTGTGTATATATATGTATGCATGTATGTATGCATATGTGTGTATGAACATGCATGTGTGTGTGTAGAGAGAGAGGGAGAGAGAAAGATAGACAGGGAGAGAGAGAGTGGGGTAAGGAGAGAAAGAGAGAGGAGAGGGAAAGGAGAGTAAGAAAAAGAGGGAGAGGCAGGGGGAAAGGAAGATAGAGAGAGAGAGAGAGATGGGGAGAGAGAGAGAGAGAGAAGGGGAGAAGGAGAGAAAGAAAGAGGGAGAGACAAACAGACAGAAAAAAAACATGGAAATCTGATCTTGAACCAAAGGCATATTGGTTAGGACTGAACACCCGACAGAAGAACAGATGCAGTGAGGCAAACTGACTGAAGGACAACTAAGAAAGACGGGACAGAGAGAATATCGAGAGAATTTGGGGATTTGAGAAGACATCGCAAACAAGTAAGGAAGAGAGAATAAATCGAAAAAAGGAGAAAGGAGTTTGTGGCTGATGCACAACCTTTGGAGACTGACCTTGGGAAATGCAGAGAGCTGCTAGAAGGATCTTAATGACCTCCATGTTGCTTCCTTGACTTTATCCTGTTGAAGAAATTCAATTGTCTGTTATATACTTTAGATGATTGCAAAGGAAAGGAAAGTAATACAGAGATTCAACTAACGTACTTCAATCGACATCGAAAAAAATACCTCCTGAATGAGTTCTATAATAATCGTTGCCATAATAGTTGCAGAAAATTCGAGTTAGTTTTTTGTTTTTTTTTTACAAATTCTTTATAAACTAGAAATTGGATAGAGTCAATATATAACAAAACTAAATTGTGCAAAAGTATCGCACTCACCAACGGGAAGACCTCACCAACGCGAGGACTTGAATCACTAATTCTTAGCCCGGGAGCTTCTACTTTTATAGCTTGGTAACTCCGCCCCCTCGCCTGACCCCAGCCAATGATAGGCATGATTTTTGCAGTTATTTGCATCGTTGAGAGGACATATATATCTGATGTAAGTACATTTTGTCTCTCTCTCTCTCTCTCCATTTCTCTCTCTCTCTCTCTCGCACACACACACACACACACATATATATATATATATATATATATATATATATATATATATATATATATATGTATGTATATGCATATGTGTATATGTATATATATATATATATTTCCACGGTAGATGTTCTACGAGGGAAACGTATTCTTATTTTGAAAAGGAGGACCAGGGCAGCAGGAAACCACATCACATAACTTCACAAAAGACTAACTTATGAAACTATTAAGATTATCTGTAGAAGATTCTGTTTTTATGTTTAACAACCATTTATACTCTCAAACCGATGGCGTAGCAGGGGGAAGCCCGCTAGGCCCAACTCTCGCAAATGGATAGCAAAATGCCCATCTCATTTTAAACCACTATTGTACAAAAGTTATGTTGATGACATATTCCTGCTGTTCAGTGATGCCTCACATGTAAACCTGTTTTTAGACTAGGTTAGCTCTAAACATGACAACATACATTTTACTTCTCAAGTTGAAGTCAACAACTCCCTGCCTTTTCTGGATATTAGGCTTGATCACGACCATAATACCTTTAAAACCTCTGTGTTCAGGAAACCTACTTTCACTGGTCTTGGTTTAAATCATTTATTCTTCTTACCTTTGATGTTTAAAGTTAATGCACTCAGAACATTACTGCACAGATGTTTTCAAATCTCTTCAGATTGGCATTCTATAAACCGAGAAATTCACTTCTTAGAAACCTTTCTTGGGGGAAAAACAAATTCCCTTTGGCAGTTATTCAAAAACAGATAAGACTTTTCTTAAATAACATGCTTTACCCAGAACCAATGAATTACAATGTGCCTCGGGATATCCGATACCTTAAAATACCATACTGTGGACATACTAGCTTTGAACTACAGAAACTACTGAGTTACCATTTCCCGCAAATTAGTTTCAGAATGATGGTAAAGCTAGATATATATATAGGTTCAACAACAAGGAATCTAATGAAGAGATATTGTGAGCGTAAAGGGGTCTCTTATCGGACATTACGTCCACTATCCTCTCCAACCTATTCATTAATTCGAGATCACTCTTAAAGCAAACCATGCAATAAAATTAGATGATTCCACAGTAATGAGAAAAGTTAAAGATGTAAATGAGTTAAGAATCTTAGAATCATTGATTATTGATTAAAGAAATAAAACCAAACTTAAACAACAATGAAAGTTCAGCTACTCTATTCTTTGAAATAATTGGCACACGTTACCCCCACCCCCCCACCCCCCACGCACCCATAACGGACATCCAGAAATTCAAATTCCCGTAAACTGTCGTCACGCAAACAGGCCACAGTCACATACTCCACATTCCACCTATGGAGAATAATCGTCAGCAAAGCATCTTATTTTGTTTGTATTTGGTATTTTCCCACTAATTTTAGTACTATAATTTGTGCTACCAGTGTATCTTGCTTGTTATTTTCGCTGTAAATATATATTTAGTATTAATGTGCATAGTTTTTACAAATGTATTGCTTTCATATATGCAGATTCTGATGATGGACACAGTTTTTGATGCCCGAATGCTCAATAAATGAAAATGCGCATGAGGTGGTTTCCTGCTGTCCTGGTCCTCCTTTTCATTATATATATATATATATATATATATATATATATATATATATATAATGTATGTACATATATATGTATACACACATTGGTGCTTGTGAGTATATATATATGTATATATATATATATGAGTGTGTGTATTCATATATAATTATATATATATATATGCCACGATGGACCAGTAGTCAGACCACTGGACTCATGGTCCCAAGTTCAATTCCCCGTCGCGGCGGTCGTATAATTGCCTGCGCTCTGACTGCTCGCTTGAGTGCGATCTCACGGCGAGAAAACATATCGCCTTGAGAAGTCAAACGCCGGTGTCATAAGGGAAGTTACCGCCGTGGCACAGGTGTTAGCGCCGAACTGCGATTGATTAGGAACGGCATCCAATCAGGCAAGGATGAGACTGCCAAATAACCTCTCAAATAATGAATTCAGAGAGGCCTATTTCCTGCTGTGGAATAAATGGCTGTTGAAAAAATATATATATATATGTATATGTATATATAAATATCTCTTTATATAAATATATATGTATATATAAATACATACATATATATATATGTATTAAAGAGACAGAGTTCCAATCACATCAGGCACGTGATCCAAGGTAGCACCAGTCCCTATATGTTGTCTTATGCATCCATGGTACATGATGTATGTGATGAGACTGTGGATTAGGACCCTTCGAGGGAACACCCTGGAGCTCGCCAAGCAACTTTGGGGTGACGAGGGCGATGCCATCAAGCAGCACAGGGCCAGAGACTAAATGTTTTTTCTTTCTTCTCGTCTATTATTTCTCCCCCCCCCCCATTCCTAGTGAGATCTGCGACCCGAGCCTAGCGTTTTTTCTGACAGGAAGATGAAAGTAACCAGGTGCTCAGTCGCTTTGTGTAGCAGCTGCATCTCGCATAAGTAAATATTATTTAAGTTTTACGTTTGCAGATCATGGTCTATGCCTTGATCAATAAGTTATTGCAATATGAAATGTTTTGATCAATGTTTACTCTGTTTAGTGGAATTTTCTGGGGATACAGAATTTTTTTTCTCTTTGCAGAATCTTCCATGGTGATCTGATCTGGAAATTTACTCTTAGGTTTTTTTTTCCGTGCCCTTCTACTATGATGTGATACAACGAGAGATCAGATTGTCCCTGCCCTAGGCTCCAACAACAGGCCAGTAATTTTGTTTTGGATATCACTGTTTTCATTATATCCTTAATATGAAAATGAAATTGGTCAACAAATCATTTTTTCTATAAGAAAGAAGTGACTTGGGTATCACGCACTCAAAGTTTCGTTCTCGGCCGGGGATTTCGAAGATACCAGTCTAGGATTAAGAAGTCTGAATATAGTTATAATAATGTACAAGGATTTCGCGGAGCTCGATAATCCCAATGATGAAATGACAAGTCTTGAATATGAAAATACATATCTCATATAATAAAAAAAAAATTCTGGGTTTGTCAACATAAAATACTTACGACAACCATGATATAAGTCTGTGGCGTATGTGTTTTTGTGTATATATTTGTATGTATACTTGTAAATTTACACACACATACACAAAGTGTATATCGAGTATTGTTATGAAAACAGGATATCACAAAAAAATATTGTTTTACATTTTATTTGCAGTCAGCTGACAAAACTACCTGTAAAATTACAGAAGTAATATAAAGAAGTTGCCCTTACTCGGAATACAGCCAGAAATGCCAGGAAACTAAGTAGAGAACAATAAGTAACAGAACAAAATGAAAAGAAAAAGAAAAAAATCAAAGAACCACAGGACAGAAAGTGGCTTCGGATCGCCTAAACCTTCTTCGGGTACACACATAGAGGACTCTTCAGCTCCAGGCACTTCTCGTCGCTCATGAAGAAGTAGTTCTCGTAGTTGAGGGCGGCGCAGTGGCCTTCGGCGGGAGTGTGGGGCGCCTGTTCGTAGTTGTAGCAGGTCCCTTCGTTGGCCACGCGCGTTGAGTTAGTTCCGTATGTGTAAGTGCGAGGCTGACAGTCTCTGGTAGACCTGGGGAGGAGAGGAGGGGCGGGGGATAATATCCACAGTCGAATTTTAGTTCTCTAACACTTTTGGTCGCGATCCTGAACACTAATTTGCATTTTTTTCCCCTACTTTCTTTCGTTTTAGTCAAACTGCACAATATATGTACTCTATATCTATTTATCTTTTTATCTCTATACTTATACCTTTCTCAAGACGGCTGGAAAATTGCGTGTACTGCCAGACCTGATGGCTCAACCATTCCTTGAATCGCATCAACTTTGGGGGCAGGGGAGAGCCTCGCATTTTAAATTCATTCACTGTTTTACTTTGATCATACAGTGGGATACGAAAATTAGGGTCAAGACTCTAGATGCATTGCAACTTCCACCATAAGGAGCAAAACTAAGTTGCCTAGGATTCCCACAGGACCTTCCCCTAAGGACGTAAAGGAATGCTAAGATTCCTACCTGATGCTCCAGAAAGGGGTGCCCATTTCCATCGGGGTGCCATCAACCCATCTCCAGCCATCCGTCTCATTCTTCAAATTTCCTCCCACCCAGAAGTCTGTGGTGATATCTGTAAAATAATAATAATAATGATAATAATATATGGAAGGGGATGTAAGATTAACTAATCTGTAAATCAAGAATTGCTCTGTCAACGCTCATAGAACTCCATGTTCTCTTGCATACAGGAATTAAATCAACCTTTAACGGCAGGCAAAAATCAACCCCTCCCGAGGTTTGAATCACTATGTCAGCCTTGTAAACAAATAAATTGCCACCCGCCGATTATTTCTACAAGTAATTAAATCTATCAACTATCAATCAGTATCATGCCTAGTGACTCATCCAAAAAAGACTTTATAATCCAAACCAAGCCAAGTAAGGATGAAGCGCAAAATATCCGATCCAACGCGGACACTCACGGTGCTCGCGGAGGAGGTGGACGAGCTCGTGGAACTTCTCGGCGCCGTCGTGGAGGGTCACAAGGTCGCCGCCAATCGCCTTGCAGAAGGAGCGAGCTTCTCCCCAGTTGACCTGCGAGGAGACACACAGGTGGAAGAGAACGTAAGGGCCACTCGTGAAAACGGTAGGATGTACGGACGCATTGCAATTTGTGTGTAGATAAAGGAAGACTAAAGAGATTGCCGGGGAAGCTGGAGAAGATAGAGCGGAAGGAAAGAGACGGTGAAAGAAAGAGAGGTGTCACACCCTATCCATTAATTATCACACGCAAGGAGTACAACAAGCACACCTTTCCAAAGAAGAAGACAGACAGGCACCGGTCGCCGACGCGGGTGTAGAACTGAGGGCAGTCGGGGTGGCTGATGGTGGCGTTGATCTTCTCAAGGAATTCCTCTCCCAAAGCCTCGGCCTCTTCAACGCTTGACTGTCTCACTAGGAAGGGTGAGGAAAGGGAGAAATGATTTAGTACAGCTACTGAAGATGGATAGCAAAAATGGGGCTTCCAAGGCGAAAACTCACATAAAAATCTTTATTTGCATTTTTAAAAATGATTTTGCACTTACCAACAGATACTTCTGACGGCAGGATGATCTCTTCAAGAGGCCGAAGTTTTTCTTCCCTCAACATCTGTGCCACGAGAAAGTGTTACACAATGTGTAAAGATACTAAAACACATGCTGTCACGCATATATGTAGACACAAATGCACATACACACATTAGAGATCCCCAAAGCGAATCCATTGCATCATCCTCGCAACCACTAACACCCTTACAAGGGATCCTTACCTGGCACAGACGCCTGTCCAGGTCCCCCTCACACGGCGGGTCGGAGATCTCGCAGTAGCGGCTGATGGTCACGCAGTTGGTGTCTCCCATCCTGCGACACCTGACGGAGCCTCGCTCGCAGTACTCATTGCGCCAAGCCTGCAGAGGGTATTGGTAGGGAGAGGTTAGTGTCGGCAGGGAAAGATTAGTGTTCAGAGCTCAAATGCTTATGTTCTACTAAAGAGTCTATGATGCCATGTTATGTTGTGATATTTCTGTCGTTATCAAGATGTTTTAAGATTACAGCCTTAACATTTTACCTTTGATGTTTCAAAATAGTAAAAAAGATGTGTATTTTTTATTACACAAAAATTCTTTCAAACAGTAGTTCTAAAACACAATCATGATATAAAAAAAAAAAAAAAAGTTAGAACACTATGCGTGTACCTTGTAATCCTTCTACCAAATATTTACATTTGCCTAAATAAACAACAGTTTCAGTTTCCTTTCCCCTAAAGTGACACAGGGACCCAACACCCACCCTGCAGATACCGCTCTCCTCGTCGGAATAGTCGCCGCAGTCGTTGTCTCCGTCGCAGATGTAGCGGATCCTCGTGCAGCTATCGCTACTCCCGCAGTGGATCTGCTCGCTCTCGGGACACGTCGCCGCGACTGATTGGAGAGATATTCTTGTCTTGAGTTAGAGCCGGGGCTTATCAAAGTGCTAATTTAATAAACGCCTTAGGACATCACATTATCAGTCTCTTTTCATATTCTAGTTACAAGTTCCTAAGTGGCTCAGGGTAGGTATTCATAAAATTTCTAAGAGTTGCTGGGAATTCCTTATGCCTTGAGACACCCTGATATCAGTTTCAAAATTTAAGAATTTTACTAAGCCGTTGTAGCAGACGCAAACTTAGATGAGAGGTTTCCAAAGGGCACTCAGGAATTCCCAAGGCAACGCTCACACTTGTTTTATTAATCTCCCGGATAAACTACACATTGATAAAAATTCAAGTTGGGAGGAAGCAAACACTATAACTGAAACAGAGCAAAATATAAGCATGTCATCGATCATGACAGCCCATACAAAGCAAAGTTTCTTTTTGATTTCATCCATTATTATTTTCTTTAACTTCTTCTTGTGTGTTTGCATTTCTTGATCAAATGAACATTTGTCTGAACAATCGTTCAAATTTTAGTGAGGCACCATTGTTAGTTGTAATACATATGACATATTTCCACATTAATATGATTCAATGATCACCGTTTAGACAATCAAGTAATCCTAATAGTTATACTACAGTTTCTGGCTTTGCATCATCTTTCCCGCTCTAGCTGGGGCGAAAGTTCAACACAGCAGTTCCCGGACCGGGCTCCCCTCATGGGCATAGCCCGGGCGAGGCTCTGCCTCGCGAATCAGGCAAAAAAAAAAAAAAAAAAAAAAGAAAGCAGTTCCCGATAAGTGCTGCTCTAGGCAGGGATTTTCATATCGGTTCCCTTCCCAGCTGGGGAAGTATCCCGTTCTGCAAAGAGATCCCTGGACAGAAAAGACTAGTATAACCGCCCTTTAAGTGAACCAGATGGAGATGGACAGAGAAAGCGAGAGAAAGAGGAGGAAACAGAGTGACGGGGTGGTGAGCGAGTGAATAAAAGGATCGGGGAAAGTAGGAGAGAGAGACAGAGAAGGCGATGGGGGAGAGGAAGTGAATATGTATATATAAACATATATGTGTGTACTGTGCGTGTATATATGCATATGTATGTATGTATATGTGTATATGTATATATATACATATTTATATGTACATATATATGCTTATATATACCTGCATATATATGTATATATATTATGTGTATGCATATACATTTGTATATATATTTAATATTTGTGTTTGTATATATGTATATAAAATATGTATAAACATGTATATGTATGTATATAGGTAAATGTATATATATATGTATATTTGATATTTATTGTTTATGTATGTATGTATATATGCATATATGTGTGTATGAATATGTATGTATGTGTTTGTAGAGAGAGAGAAAAAAAAACAAGGAGAGAGTGGGGTAAGGAGAGAAAGAGGGAGGGGGGGAAAGGAGAGGAAGAAAGAGAGGGAGAGGGAGGGGGAAGGAAGAGAGAGAAAGAGAGAGAGAGAGAGCGGGAGAGGGAGGGAGAGAGATTGAGGGCCAGACAAACAGACAGAAAAAAAAACATGGAAAACTGTTACTGACTAAAGGCATATCGGTTAGGACTGAACACCTGACAGAAGAACAGATACAGTGAGGCAGACTGACTGAAGGATAACTAAGAAAGTAGTTTGTGGCTGAAGCACGACCTTTGGAGACTGACCTTGGGAAATGCAGAGGAGAGCTGCTAGCAGTACTTTAATGACCTCCATGTTGTTTCCTTGACTTTATCCTGTTGAAGAAATTCAATTGTCAGTTATATTCTTTAGATGATTGCAAATGAAAGAAAAGTAATGCACATACGGAGATTCAACTAACGTACTTCAATCGACATCATAAAAAATTAAATTAGATTTGCAATAATAGTTGCAGAAAATTCGAGATGAATAGTTTTTTTTTAACAAATTATTTATAAACTAGAAATTAGATAGAGTCAATATATAAATTTAAATTGCGCAAAAGTATCGCACTCACCAACGCGAAGAACTCACCAACGCGAGGACTTGAAAACCC